TGTAGGCTTTTTGTGTGTGTGTGTGTAATTTATTTCTAATTTCATACCATTGTGATCTGAGAAGCCGCTTGATATAATTTCAATCTTTCTGAATTATTGAGGCTTTTTGTGGCCTAGGATGTGATCTCTTCTGGAAATCATTCCATGTACACTTGAGAAAAATGTGTATCCCTGTACTTTTGGGTGGAATGTTCTGTAGATACCAGTTAAGTCCATCTGGCCTAATATATTGTTCAATGCCTGTTTCCTTATTTATTTTGTCTAGTTGATCTGTCTGTTGATGTAAGTTATGTGTTAAAGTCTCCTAACATGAATGTGTTGCAGTCTGTTTCCCCCTTTAATTCTGTTAGTATTTGTTTTACATATTTGGGTCCTATGTTGGGTGCATATTTATAGTGGTTATATCCTCTTTTTGGACTGACTGATTTATCATTATGTAATGTCCTTCTTTATCTCTTGTTACTTTCTTTGTTTTGAAATCTATTTTGTCTGTTACAAGTACTGCTACTGCTGCTTTTTTCTCCCTTGTATTTGCACAAAATATCTTCTTTTATCCCTTCATATTCAGTCTGTGTATGTCTTTAAGTTTGAAATGACTCTCTTGTAGGCAGCATATAGATGGGTCTTCTTTCTTTATCCATTGTGTCACTCTATGTTTTTTGATTGGTGCATTCAGTCCATTTATGTGTTAAGGTAATTATTGATAGGTATATACTTATTACCATTTTATTAATTGCTTCCTGGTTGTTTTTATAGCTCCTCCCTGTTCCTTTCTTCCTCTCTTATACTCCTCTCTTGTTATTGAGGATTTTCTTTAGTGTTGTGATTGGATTTTCTTTTTTAATTTTTTTGTATATAAATTATTGCCTTTAGGTTTGTAGTTACCATAAGGTTCAAGGATAACTTCCTGGCTATATAACAGTCTAGTAAGTTGATGATTGCTCTATTTCAAACAATTTAAAAGTACTTCTTTTTTCTTCTTCCTCCTCCTCACATTATGTATTAGATATCATAATTTGTATTTTTTGTGTATCCCTTGATTTATTTTGTGTATAGCTTGTTTCACTACTTTTATTTTAATTTCATGCTTACTTGGTAAGTAATTGGTCTACTACTTTTACTGTGGGTTTATTTTCCCTGCTGAAAGCTAGTTTGCCTTAGGAACATTTCCATCTGTAGCAGTCCCTTTAACATATCCTGTAAAGCTGGTTTAGTTGTTAAAATTCCTTGAGCCTTCATTTATTTGGGAATTGTTTAATCTATGCTTCAGATTTGAATGATAATCTTCCTGTGTGGAGGATCCTTGGTTGAAGGTCCTTTTGTTTCAGTATTTAAACATTTCCTGCCATTACCCTCTGGCCTGTAAAGTTTCTGCTGAGAAGTCTCCTGATAGCCTGATGCGGTTTCCCTTACAAGTAACCTTTTCTCTCTCTGGCTGCTTTCAATACTTTCTCCTTATCCTTTATCTTTGTCATTTTAATCATATGTCTTGATGTTGTCTTCCTGGGGTTCTTCTTGTTAGGGGCTCTCTGTGCTTCCATGATATGAGTGTCTATTTCCTTCCCCAGATTGGGAAGTTTTCAACAATTATTTCCTCAAAGAGACTTTCTTTCCCTTTGTCTCTCTCTTCTCCTTATGGTACCCTTATTATGCAAATATTGTTTTATTTGGGTTATTCACATGTCTCTCCTATCATTCTTTCATTCCTGGAGATCCTTTTTTCTCTCTGTTCCTCAGCTTTGTTGTGTTCCTGTTCTCCAATTTGTATCTCATTGATTGTCTCCTCTACTTGCAGCAATCTGTTATTCATTCCCTCTGGTGTATATTTTATTTCAGTCAATGTATTCTTCAGCTCCAAGTGACTTTTTTTCAGCTCTTGTATCTCTTTGTTGAAGTCCTCACTGAGATCTTCAATACTTTTCCATAGATCTGTGAGCATATTTATGACGTTTACTTTGAAATATTTATCAAGAAGATTGTTGGTCTCCCTTTCATTTAGCCCTCTTTCTGATGTCTTATCCTGTAGTTTTGTTTGGAACATATTCCTCTGCCTCCTTATTTTGTCAGGGTTTCTGTGTTTCTTCCCTGGTATTAGATGGATCTAATGTGCTTTCTAGTCTAGAGAGTAATGACTTTATGAAGAAGGCATCCTTTGGTGCACAGAAACTAAAGACTCTTTACTCTCCAGTTCCTGGTTCTCCTTTGTAGTGGAGCCCCACTTGCTGTTGGTGGGCAATGGCGGGGCCGCCTTTCTGTCTGTTTGCCAGCAGTGGTCTTTGTCTGCTACAGCTGGCAGTTTGGCTTAGCCAGCCCTCTGTGATCAGAGCAGTGCCTTCTGCAGGTATCCTTGTGGGAAAGAACACCCTCCACCCACCCTGCCACAGTGGCTGGGCTTCAGGGTTAACAGCATGGTTGAGCATGGTTGATGCCACACTGGGGCTCTGTGAGTCACCCAGTGGCAGGGTGCACTCTGGCAATGAGTTACCACTGGTGCCCCCTGAAGGATGAGGTGCACAGCACCAGACTTGGTCACCTGTGGAGAGGAAGGAGCTCTCAGAACTGTCTCCTTAAAGCACCTCCCCATTTGGGATGAAACAGGGCTGTGAAAGCTGGAGAACCTCCCTCTGCCTACAAGGCAGCAAAGTCTGATGCTGCTGGGCCAAATGGGCTGGTGTGCAGGCAGGGCACAGAGAAGAGTCTTGGAGCTGAGCCACCAGTGAATGGGATGGAGCCTTTGGGGCTCCCAACAGTGCTTGACCTGTTGGGTTAAGGGAGAGCTGCAGAGGTATCATCCACCTGTCCTTTTTCCTTTGGAGAGAGCTCTGTTCAGCTTTCCCCTCTGATACCCCCTCCTGCTGCTTGCAAACCTCTTAAACTGCCTCCTCTGCTTCAGGTCTTAGCAGAACTTGTGGAGTATGCCTGTCCTCCATAAGTGGCTGGAGTTTCAGTCTCCCAGGGTGTTCCAACTGTCCCTGGTGTCCAGTCCCACTAATCATCAGAACCCAGTGCAATGTAAACTCATGCCCCCAGAGCAGATCTCCAGGGCTAGGTGTACAGAGTTCCTGAGCACCTGTCATGTCTCTGCTCCAGTCTTTTTCCTCCCACCTCTGGGCTGGAATGGGGGAAGGGCTTGGGTTCCACTTGGTCATGGCTCTGCTGCTTTACCCTTTTCTGTGTGGTCTTCTCTTCTTCACCAGGTATAAGTGGTCTGTTCTGCAGTCTTCAAGTCATTTTCAGGGTTAGTTGTATTTACTTAGTTGCTTCCTTGGTATGTGTGTGTAAGGTTTCCACCTTGCGTTCCTATTTCACCATTTTTGTTTTCCCTCCTGCAAGTAATAATAAACTTTTAAAAAATACAGGATTGAGATTTTAAGTATTAAAAGTAGACTGGTTATTGATAGTCTCTATACTACAGTATCTAGATACATTTTCCTTGAAATAATTTCCTTTTGTTAAATATCAAATATTAATTTTTTCATCTTGCTTTACTACATAGTAAGCTCCAGCCTCCATCTTAGTGGCTACCATTTCTCTCTATGATCTAATTTAACCTACATTTACTTTCTTTCCCTGCAGAAGTTAGAAGTCATTTGCCAAGCTCTATAAACATTTTATACTATTGATCAGCCAGTTTTAAACAGTTTGTCTCTGCTGCTTTTCTCACAATGATCCATACAAAAGAGATATCCCAAACGAGAGTACCCATTTCCCTGGGGTATATTACAGTTGGCAGTTGGGCAAAAAAATATTTATTGTAGGGCAGTTAACAGAATATAACCTGTAATGAGTAGCTGTTTGTTATTTGTACTATAGACAAATTCAGGAATTAAGTATGTCTAGCTACTTCTATGTCAGTTTAGTTTTGCTTACAAATAATGTTAAAATGGACATACTTATATATTTTCTTTTAATCTTTTTTTTTTGGTATCATTAATCTACAATTACAGAAAGAAAATTATGTTTACTAGGTTCCCCCCTTCACCAAGTCCCCCCCACCACATACCCCTTCACAGCCACTGTCCATCTGTGTAGTAAGATGCTGTAAAATCACTACTTGTCTTCTCTGTGTTGCACATCCCTCCCCGTGTCCCCCACGCACTATACATGCTAATTGTAATGCCCTGTTTCTTTTTCCCCGCCCTTATCCCTCCCTTCCCACCCATCGTCCCCAGTCCCTTTCCCTTTGGTAACTATTAGTCCATTCTTGGGTTCTATGATTCTGCTGCTGTTTTGTTCCTTCAGTTTTCCTTTGTTCTTATACTCCACATATGAGTGAAATCATTTGGTACTTGTCCTTCTCCACCTGGCTTATTTCACTGAGCATAATACCCTCTAGCTCCATCCATGTTGTTGCGAATGGTAGGATCTGGTTTTTTCTTATGGCTCCGTAATATTCCATTGTGTATATGGACATACTTATATTTGTGTGGGACATTCATGGACTCCAAAGTTTTCCCCATTATCTTAATAGTTTTTTAAGGGCCAGCGGACAATTCAGTTAAAATTAGAGTAATTAGGCTTGTAGCAGTCTTCTTAAATTTGACCATACACATCTCCCTTTTTGAAATAGCAATAGTTTTACATCAAATGTATTTTGATATAAAATTTGGGTATTCCATCAAATTCATTGATTCTGCTGGGTTTAAGTGACAAATATATAGGAAGCATTTTAATTTCCTGAAATATATATCAGTACATACTCTAGATAAGCAAGCAGTTTGGAATTTACCCAGAAAAGTTATGATTTCCTCTAATTTTGGGACATACTTATATTTATAAATTCAGATTTTGTTGAAAAATTAAATTGTGCACTGTGTTGGAGTTTGTGCTCTCTCCAGCATGTTTTCAAACATTCTTACTCTACTTTTATACTGCTCACAGATATATAAGGCCTCCTTAAAAATACTTAAAAAAATCATAATATATAATAGATATTTTATTAAATGTATGAATTAAAATTATGAAACTTTAATGAAAGAAACTTTTGATTCTTTTAACAGAGAATTTTGATACTAAAAAGAATGAACTAACAAGGCAGGGCTTTATGGATCTGAATCTCATGGAAGCCAATGATCGAGACGGAGATCCTCGTGACCTTTGGGTAACTCTACACTCAATGGGCTACAATAAAGCTCTGGAATTGACAGAGGTAAAGCAATCTTAAAGTTTTGCAGTAGGCTTAATGTACATAATATTTTACCCCATGAACATTTTCCTAACACATTACTTTTGAATTTGGCATTCAAATCCTTGAACTTCAGTATATGAATGAATGCTGGGTGCAAGTGTATTTCTGCTCATTTATGCAAGTTCCTATTTTTACCTGAAATTTAGTTACTGCCACATTCAAATAATTCAGGAACAGAGGACTTTAAGCATATGAGATACAGGAAAAAATTGGTAATTTAAAATATTAATGTTTCTAATTTGGTGATGGCTATTTGAGTTGCTAAAGTCTCATTTCTATAGGGAAACTCTTTATCCTAGCAGAAGAAAGGCTGTCTTAGAATAAAGGGGAAATAAGTCTGTATGAGAACAGAATTCTGATCTTTTGACAAAGTATACACCTTGGGTTAATATTTGTAAAACACATGAGACAGTGCTTTGCTCATAAAAAGCACTAGGTATGCATAAGCTATCATTATTATTTATTAATGTGATAGGTGTAAAGTTGAATAAGACCTGCAGAGAATTGCAGAGGAATTTTATTGCAGAGGAATAATAAAAATTAGGCCTTCTAAAATTCTGTACTTTTGTGTCAGGTTTAAAATGAATAATTTAAGATTTTCAGACCACATATTAGACAATAATACATTTGTTTATATTCCTAAAATTAAAAATAGCATCTGTCCTTTCTATAAATAAATCGACTTAGGAGGGTAACACTGACATCAACAAATTTTAAGTTTTGGGTATATTGATTTAATTTTGGTTTGATGTTGATTGAATTCCTAGTTTTGATGTCATTCAAAATTCCTTATAAACCTCATTGAGAAGTTCTCTATAATTTTTTTTTTGCCATTTTTAGTAGCAGGAGGTAAATGGTTACAGTAACTTTTTATATCTTACTTTAACCTAGCATTCAGTGGACCCCACATTTTAACTATTGTGCAAAATCAGCATATAACCTGTGAATAATATTGTTTCTGCTACACATGCTTTCACTTAATAGAGAAACTAGTTAAGAGCGATTTAAGACATTTTAGAGCATATACTGATGTCATTGACCTTTGAAAACATAGGCAAGAAGTATTTCTCAGAAGAAACTTTCTTAATTTAAAATTTATTCATTTACTGAATTCATAATATATACTCCATTATTGAAAATTCAAAAGATAAAAATTTACATACAGTGAAAATGTCAAAGGGTGATGAGACCACTACTCAGTAACTAAAATAAAAAGACAAAACTGAGTTGATTGTTTACTGTAAGGGAGAGTTAGGCTGGCCAGTTCAGTCTCCCCATGCATAACAGAATGTCCATCTTATTTCTATAGGGTTTTGGGGAAGCATGGTTCCTTGGGTGAAACTATTGGTTGGCACTCCTCATTGCATTTATTGACCTGAGTCTTTCCTGATGCCTGACTTAAAAAAGTGGTTGGCTTGTGAAAATGTGTTCATTGTGATAAGTTGTTGCAGATCAGTTTAACAGGTTTAAAACAGTTCTAATGGCACTTGTTACCATGACAACAGAATAAATTTTTCATAAGTTTGTGGGAACTTTTTTATTCCATCTCCCCTTTTGGTTTTCATCCAGCTAAAGCTGTAGTAGAAACCATCAAAGATTCACTCAACCGTTATTGTTGATTGTCTTTGAAGAAGTTTCATCTGTGGAGATCTGATTTTCAGTTTGTGAGTTTTAAGACTCTAGACAATATTTAAACTTTGAGACAAACAGGTATTAGTATTATAAGAAGGGACTGGAGGATACTCCAGAATCAGATCCTAGATTTTTCCAGATTTAGTTACGAAAAGTCCCAAGGATTCCTCAAATCTATTTTGTATAACCTTTTGTAGTTAGCTCTTTTAATTAATTATAGATGGTTTTACTTGTAGTGTTCATCCAGGTACAACATGAAGTATTAGCATTGGTGCAGACTCTTCCTTGGTTGGTCAAGAGAAAAATCAAGTTTTTTTTATTATCTATAACTGCTTGAGTTAAAGAATTTAAACTGGCATGTTGTGCCTCAGGACTTAGACTATATTAATTACTATATCAACCAACATGAAGGAACAATTTTTTGGATGATCTGGAATGGAATTGCTATAGGAGTCTTTTCCCAGAAACGTTTTTATTCTTTTGGGGAGTATGTAAGGAAATATATAACCCATTGAAGGTACTGGATAGTCCTACCCTTGAAATAGCCTAAATAGTAGCTGTACAGAATAATTACCCTTGGTTCTGAGTTGGCATTAAATAATCAGTAGCTGATTTCTACATACTAGCTACACAAGAGATATAATCATTCTTAGCAGAACTGTTGGTATATTGTTTCTTTGTGTTGGGAGAATATTGTGTTGCATTTTGTATTTCTCATAGTTCAAATGCGTTTTTTTCCTTAAAGCCTAGCCTTAAGCAAGTTATTGTTACTAATAAGGAGAACATAATAGGTCAAGTTAGACATATGCCCTTAAATCAATAAAGAGGAAACCTTTGAATAAACAGGAGTGTGCAAATAAGACTATAACCTATAGTAGAATCTTGTTCCAATGGTCTTGAGAGGAAGCTGCTTACTTCTTATGCTCGTATGTTTTTCAGAGGTTCTTGCGTTAGCAGTTAATTCTGTGGACTGTTGACTGCTGGAGGTTCTCTGAAGAACCTCACTTTAGGATCTTTAAAGGATGTACCTTTCCAGTTCTGTTAAGACCCTTTTCATTTTTCTAGAGGTTTGGGAATGATAAAGACAAAAATGTTTTTGAGTAGGGAGCACACTTACATAATCTAAATTCATGAATAATTGTTTCAGTTAAATGTATCCCTTGTCACAGGATCAATTTGGTAAGTCTTAAATAGTCATGATGGTTGTAGCTTTTCAACAGGAAAATATTTTGACCCACCCTGAAAATAAATATACTATTACTAGTAGTATATATTCATAAACAATAGAGGGAGAGTCAACTGTATAAAATAAATTTGGAAATGCTCAGAAAGTCTTTTAGAGCATAATCACAGTTTATGTACCATAATTTTTCCAGGTTTAGTTATAAAGCATGGACTGACCACATCCTTCTTTATCCTAAGAAAGTTTTTCTTCAGTGCTTAATATTATTAGCCAGTTTGTTCCTATTGGATTGAGTTGTTTCATGGAAGATTTTATATCGTGTCCAAATGGCCATTTTGGTTTTGCCAGATCTTATCCTCATGGTTCTTACAACTTGATCATGGGCAGTGTTTCTTTTCAGAATTTGGCCTGCCAAGTTTTGTGTATCCATGATAGAATCCTTGAGCTTCTCCACGGATTTATTTAATTTTGTTCTTGTTGTTTTACATAAGGACTTTAGTCAGAGTATTCTGTTTAGTATAATGATCTGTTAGAAATATTTCTGAAGTATTTTTATAGTACTTTTAAAGTATTCCTATAGTATCTATAATATTTTAGCTTCTACAGAACTTCTTTTACTTTGAGTCTCTTCCTTCATGATAGCAGTTACTTTAGGTATTAAATAATGAATTTGTTCATTTTTAAAGGATGCTTGATAATGAAGAAAAAAACTTTTTTCTGTGGCATTTTTTAAAAGTCAGTTATTCTAAAAGCATACTGACTATTGGTTTATATATTTCACTCTCTTAATTTAGTGCTTTGGTATGCCTTAGAGTAAGCCACAGTTTAGTCATTTGAACTAATCCATTTTCTGGTAAAAAAATAGATTTTACAAAAGAGATTAGGCTACTTATTGTATGTTAAGTCTGGTATTGTCCTTTTTATTTTCTAATATAGGACTCATCAACAAACAGTATTAAATCAGGATCTGTTATTGGAGCATCCAAAAATTCTCTTCTGGGTATGGTACTTTTTGATTTATAGAATCACAATGAAGACATTCTCCTCATTCAGGAATGATTATAGAGTTGGACTGAGAGGTTTTCATTAGCAAATGATAATACAAGAAGGAAAAAAGAACAGTTTGTAATTAATCAATTGTTATAAAATTCTAGGTAATTTCTGTTAGCAATAGGGATTTATGCATATGGTAACATTTGACTTAAAGGAGTCATCTAAGATCTGAAGTTTTTTTTAACTAATTTAGTTCTGGCTTGTAATTGCTCTGAGACAAGGAGGTTATTAAATAAATTTGATTAGCAATAGTTCTTTGATATGCTCTGTTACTGAGTTAATATATCTAGAGCATGACCTAACATTTTTATGTTTGTAAAAAAAAGGATTTATGATCATCTAGGAAGACTCAGTCTATAGTCTTATGAGCTGTTTTCTCATTGGTTCGAATAGACCTGTAAAGTTCTTTGCCCATAGGGATTCTGTAACTATTTCTTTTTAAATTTATTAAATCATAAATAATGTAGGTAATTTAATGTCTAGGTGAGCTATAATTTGATCCCACCTATTAAATTAGTAGGTATTGTGTCACAAAGAATAACCAAAGTATAAGTTACAGATTGGTGTTTGAGAAAGGATTTAGGGTTGTCGGAAATCTCATTATTTGAATGGTTTTAGTGAACCAAGACAAAGCTTATTTTATTTTAAGTATTCTATAACATTGTGCACTCTCAGTTTGTCCCTCTATAGTCAGGCATACCCAATCACTTTGACTTTACTTTTCTTAGTAATTTTCCTAAATTTAGGTCTTAGAGTTAAGGAGTATCCATTCCCTAGATCAACCTATAAAGGCAGATCCTCTGTCAAAGAGCAACATAACATTTTTTATTGTTCTTACTACAAGGGCATTGTCCCTTTATCATTATAACTTAATAATTTGCTCTTTCATTAAATGTTGATAAGCAAAACACATGTCTAGTTTTTCCTCTTTTTTTTTAAATAATGATTTTATAGTATAATTCCTTTTAGAATTCAGAACTGGGAAATTCTTCCATTTTTTAGATTTGGAGAGCTATGTGACACATTATACTTTAGTTTCTTCTTGGCTAACAGGTAGTGAGATTCCAATTTTGTGCTAAATTTAAGTAGATACCCTAAGCCAGGCTTTATTACTACAGTCTTCCCCATCTTCCTTATTGTATATTAATAGTTTTACAATGAAAAATTTATGATGAATAGTTTTCTTGCTTGTTGTATTCTTCCTATATTAACTTAGTAGGAGAAAGAGAATAGGTAAATAAAAGATTAAGCCCATGAACAGAAAAAATAATATAGTTATAGGGCAACTTTTAGAGCAGATATTTTTTTTTTAAGATTTATAATATGTCTTTAACAAAGACCATTTAAGATTTTTATTTTCAGTGAATCTTTAAATATTAATACTGTTTGGTTGAATAACACTGATAACCAAGACTTGCAAAATGGCAAAATAATACCAGAATCTGAAAAACCAGTGCTGAAAAAATTAACCTTTAAAATTCCACATTCTTATAATTATTATAATTTTTTTAGAAATCTACATCATAAAATATTTTCACATTTATCACCTATTAGATATTTCTAACAACCCTTGACAGAATATATACTATTTATTCCCACATTTTCAATGAAGAAAGTAAGCCTCATAGAATTTGACTTCCCCAATTCATGTAACCAGTAAGTGGCAAAACCCAGTTACAAACCAAGTCCTCTGCTTTCTAGTCCAACGTTTTTTTTATTCTACTGTTCTTCTTAAAAAAGTGACTTTATTATTGCCAAAGAGTAGAGTCATTAAAAACTTGAAAAAATAAATGTGTCTATTGATGTTCTACTAACTTCATACTTTTATCTTTTGTCCCTCAAATAATAAGATGTCCATCAATGTGTACACTTAATTCAACAAATATTTATTGAATGCCTACCATGTGGCAAGCCTGTAATAAAGAGGCACTGAGGATACAATGAATAAAGTAGTCAAAATTTTGCTCTCATGGAATTCACATTCTGTGAAGGATGATGATTGATTAAGTGGAAAATAAATAAAGCCATTTCAAAAATGTTTTAAAAATAAGCCACAGGCCAAAGTAGAGAACAGTGGGGCAGTAAGGGAGATTGGGAGACCAGAGCTGCTCTTGCTGCAAAGGTGATACCTGAATTTTAATCTGATGGAGGAGAATGAGGTACCATGTAAAAAGATACATAAAAATAACTTCATTTGTTCTAGGATCTGAAAGATCAGGGTAGATGGATCATAGTGAGCCAGGAGACTGGGTTGGATAGAGAGGCAAAGGTTACTGTGCATAGCATCTTGTAGGCTATGGCAAAGACTAAAAGGTAGTATTAACCTTAAAAATAAACTATCTAAAAATTATTTTTAAACTATTATTTTACCATCAAACATGGATTTGTGTGGGAATAGCAGACAATTGCAACTTGGGACAAGCAAGCTATGGCAACCCACAGGCACCTCTGGAGAACAAAGGAGAGGACCCCCCTTTTATAAAGGAAAGGGCTGAATTGGGAGGGCTGTTATAAGGAAAAAGTCCACTGGAGGAAAATGGAAGTCCCATGTATTGTGGCTTCTCATTGGCTGAATAATGATAGTTTCTCACAGGCTGGGCTGTTACTGGGGGAGCAGAAACTCTTCCTCTTGCTGGAGAGTAAAGTAGCTAAAACAGTGTGGGTTTGTAAGATACCCATCTCTTCTTTCCAGTGAAGCCTGCAATTGATAAGGCATGGTAGGTATGAGATTTCCCCTGTGGCCTCCTGATGCCATGTCAGTGAGGTTTCCCTTTATTAATTTCTAATTTTCATAGTAGATATTAGAAAAATAAATTTCCAAATGCAGTAAAATTTTTTAGATATTAAATTTTAAAGATCCTTTTACACTAACTTTGTACTGTAGATTTATTTTTCTACGTTTAGTTCTTTTTGTTGCTTTATATCCATGATTAAGTTTCAACTGTAAACATACTAATTCCTTTAGAGCCTTTTGATGAGTTCTTTCCATAGCCTTAAAGTTAGAAAAGGAAATTAAATTAAATAATATGACATATTTTAGCTTTAAACCAAATGGAAGGGGTGGTACTGTGACTTAAAGGAGGCATTACTGATTTGCTAGAAGTTTTAGTTTTTTTTCCTTTTCTGTGAACATTATCAGTTAATATGTTTTAAAAAATCATAATTTCAAGGTTTTTTACTCAATTCGTAGTACTAAAATTTTCCCCTAAAAGTATACCAGAAGGACAAGTAAAAGGTGAAGTGAATCTTTGCATGTCACATGATTAATATAGTAATAAGAAATAATTTATTTTTAATTCTATCAAAAGGCTAAAACAAGGTTTGCTTTTTCTTCGTATCAGGCATGCCCATTTGTCATCGACATCTATGCAGACAAATGCAAGCCAAGAATTAAAGCTGTCTATATGGAGGCATGCAGTGGGCAACTTGAGAAGGCAATTTGTAAATCTGTCCTTAGCAAAGGCGATGCTAAAATAATGGATGGCTATGAAAATATAATTGTACATACTTATAAACATGACACCTGGATAACATCAGTTATTGAAAACAAGGTATCAGTTATGAGGTGATTCTCCTCATAACTGCAGTGTTTACTAATATGTCCTAATATGTCCTATCTTCTTTCTTACTTTATTCTTCTATAGTAATTAAATATCATATTGTATTAATAATATTTATAATGGGAGTTATTCTTTTTCCTTCTCAGGTTTCTAACTCAAGTTGGGCATGATAATTTTTATATTATTTTAAAGGTTTGAAATAATTATTTTTCTCTTAAAATATGAAAATTAAATATTTGAAGATCTAAGAATATAGAGCATAATCTGGGTATGAGGTATTTTATTTGTTACTAAAAATTTTCATACACACATAACCATTTGAGATAATAGACCTGGTGTTTTAAAAATATATAAACAAAATAGGAAAAAAAAATTACCCCTGCTTTTTACACAAACTTAGCAATATCAGAAATCTTACGGACAACCATCATTTAATCTAATTAAATATTAGATTTATTGACTCAGACCTATCTTTATGAAGCCAATGATTTCTAGCTTTGGTCATCTCCCCTGCTTCTATCGATATTGAAGGTCAAGAGAATACATGCATAAATTCTTTAAGTCAGAGATACCCAGTTTTCTAGAAATTAAAAATTTCCATAAGCCTTTACTCAAGATGGCTGAGATTTTAGGCCTGCTGGCTTATTTCCTTTAGTTTCTAGGTGAAACTTACATTTCTAAAAGTGCTTAAGGTCTGGCTGAGAAGTGAGTCAGTGTGCATGTATAATATGTGAGTAACTTCTGGTCACAGCGGGGGTCCCTAGAAAATACAGCATGGCCTCTACTTTCAAGGAGTTTGTGGGCTTTGTGGGCAGGCAAAGTTAATATTCTCAAAGAAATCAGAGAATGAATGTTAAATTATATAGTACTGTTTGAGCAATAGAGTTTTATTTTACTTGAATCTCTTGTAGTTGGTGTTAATTTGGGCTATGTAAGTTGGAGAAGGGGACTGTGATGTGGAATTTGAGCATGTGGTATGAGGTGTGAAAAAATACTAGGATTTGATATGCAGGGAGGCAGCCTTTAGGAGCAGGGAAACAATGGATGGAGAAACATTAAGGAAAGGAAAGTGGGAGAATACCTGCTTTGCAGAAACAAGGAGCTCTATTGTTGGGGGTGGGTATTAGGAAAGTAAATAACAGGTAGAATGGGTCCAGATTATATACATTATTTGAAAACAAGGTAGAGACATTTAAACTTGACAAAAATAAGCTAGGGACCCTAGCTAGTAGATTGCAGTCTTCAAAAGGATCATAAAGCTTTAGAAAGTCATTCCTAAGTTCCAGCATGTTTTCCTTTCTGTCTTCTGTGTTTTATTAAGATTTAAAGGTTGGAAGGGAGTCACTACTTTATCCTAATCCCTCTGCTCTGTATTTACCTATGGTTTCTCAACCCTTTACTTCCTTTTCCTTCAAGGAAAATTAAACTTCCCTTCACCAAAATGAGGTAATAATAATATTTGAGAGCTTGCCATGTGCCAGGACTTTACATTTATTAATGCATTTCCTTTTCACAACAACCCAATGAGGTAAGTACTATCCCCATTTTACACACAAGGAAACTGGAGCACAGGGACATTAAGTAACTTGCAAAAGGTCATACAGCTAAGTAGTAGAAGTGCTGAGAAATGAATCCAGGTAGTCCTATGTTATACTGCCTCTTTGTAGTCATCAGGGAGTGATTGAAGGTTCTTTAGCAGGGAATACTTTGACTCCTGCATTTCTCTCATTTACCAGCTTCACTCTGCTTTCTCTTGCTTCCTATCTATCCTAGAGGCCTGTCTATTATCTATGATCTATTATCTCAAGTATCCTTTCTACCATAAGGTCTTCCTTGATACCCCAATCTGAACTAATGTTTCTGTGTTTTTATAATGTCTTCTGTGTTTCTATAAAACCTGTGAATACCTCTAATCACAAGACTTACAAAGTGTTTTGTAATTACCATTTTGTCTGTATTTATTAAAGAAAGGGGTAGCAACTTATGAAATCTTTTTTTTTACAGTCAGATAATAAAGTGATTATTCATGTCAACAATGAGCTAAGTAAAAACTGCATAAACAACAGAGGACTTAACATATTTGCAGTAGAAGTGGCACCAAAATCTACGATGGTAATGTGTTGTTTTCTAATTAAAGCCTTTTGTGTTATCAATTTGAGAAACATTTTTAGTCTTAATGCTATGAATAAATGTGTAAATGAAATAAGGTTAGAAAAAAAATTATCTTAAGTATGATTTGTATTAGCATCATCCTATACTAGAAGTTAGGAGACTGGTTCTAATCCAGTTCTCACTATTTGGTTGAATAATTATGGCCTGTTCCCTTCACCTCTCTGTTCCTGTCCCTTTAAATGTAAATTAATATAATACCACCAGCTTTAGGTACTCCACAAGATTAATGTAAAGACAAACATAAAATAATATTCATGAAAGCACTTTTGAACATCACATAAAAACATAAATTAGTGTTGTTGATAGTAATAGGAATTTTCATAATCCAAAATATTTTTATATATGTTGTTAAGATTTTCTAAGATAACCTGAAAGAGAAAATGCCTTTGAGTATCCAACTAAGTCAAGAGCCAGGAACAGCTGGAGTTCTGGTGTTGGCAGAACTCTGAGAGTTTCAGGCAGGAGTTCAAAGGCAGGAACAGGTTAGTAGACCCTGAAACTGGTCTAGTGAAGGGTAAAAAGCTTTCTATTCATACCTTTTCTTCCTCCATACTATCCATGAAATCCTAAAACATTTCTACAACAGGATGAAGAGAGATTATCTTTTTTGTTATCCTAATGAGGATTTTAGAAAATGTTCTAGGTTTAGTGAGAAAAGGATACTTACTCTAGTCCACACCCCTCTCTACCTATATTCACATGCACCAATTATCACCTACTAAATCTGAGTAGAATTTAGGTTGGATTATCCTGTTAGATATTAGATCATAGATTGCAGGTATGTGCTGAGGACAAATAGAGAATTTTATCTGCACAAGGATATTTTTTACACATAGTCTAGGAATGTTGCCCTATTGAAAAATTAGCCAAAAATAACAATATATAAAAGGAAAATCAAAAGCTTTCTATTTTTACGTGCAGGTTTGTCAACATGTAATGCCTCTGAATGAACGACAAGAATGGATATATTACTGTGTGTATTCCCTTATATCTTAAAGCTGCTTTTTAGGAAATAATTCTACTTGACGTTATCAAATTAAGAAGATTTACTTCAGGTTTAGTCTATTTGTTGATCAACTAAGTGCTGATTTAACTGATATATATAAATAATAATCTAACTTGTATGAATTTATATTTTATGCTTGTTATATATTTTATTATTGAAATATAAATAGTGCTTTTATGTGTGGCCTTATTAATTTAACGAGAAATCTAGGCGCATTTCATTTACAAATAGCAAATCAAAAAAAATTACAAGTAAGCTTTTAAAAAACTTGAATTATACAAAATTCTATACTCTTGGTTTATCTTACTCATCAAGAAAAGCTAAAATAAAATGTAAATGGGCCAGCTGCAGCAAGTGCCTTGAGCTCTTGCTCTTGCTTCTCACTGTCTGTCCCAGGACCTTGGCAGGTTCCCAGACCTCTATCTAAACCAGTACTGTTGGAAGCATTTGCCTGTGGGAGGACCAGGAGCCTCCTGGGCCCCTTTTCCTTCCATCTGCTGCTGGTATCTCAGAGCCCATTCCACGCCTGCCTTTTCACCAGCAGCTTCTGCCTCCTGCTGCACCTCTTCAGCTTTGAGCTGGTGCTCTCCCCCAGGGCCCTGCAGGTGCGGAAACCCAGGTCCTGTTTCCACCATTGCCTACACTGGGGACCATTCACCAAGCAGCCAAAATTGGAGTGACAGGTATAGAGTCGGATGTTGAGTTTACTTCTCATGGGATTCTTATCTTAAAGCACCATAGCACAATAGATAGGATGACTGATGGGACTGGTCAATGTGTGATTTGATATTTGAACAAATTAGAAAGCTTAATTCTGCAGTAAATCATAGATACAGGAATGATTTCCCTGATGAGAAGATTCCTATCTTGAGGGAAACCAGTGTCAAGTACCTGAACCATCACCTCACAATTTTCTTTGATATCAAAGGCCATGTAAATACGTATATGGAGTTCCTCAACTATACAGTAATGGTATCATCTGCTCTTTCTTGCCAGAAAATTATCTGTAAGCTAATATAAACAGATCAGAATGTAGTAACTGCTTTGACTCACAGATCTTAGAGCATTAGCCATTAAGCAGATGGGAACCCACACTGTGATACTGTATGTTTCAGTCCACTTTTGTGGTAATGGGCAGTTTACCTGACTAGAGCATGCATGATATCTTGTGGAACCTGTGTGGAATTTCAGCTTTTCTCATGGGAAAGGATTTTGTACCTCTGGACTACTTGAAGAAGTGGTCAGCTAAAGGGGAAATTTTCCTGTCTTCCCTACTAGGTTTGCTTGATGGTCTACTAATTAAACTGACATAAGATAGATTAACAGGAGAAAAACATTTAATTGTATATGTATAAAAACCCCACAAAGGCAAGACTCAAAGGCAATCAGGCAATTGAGGCTTATATACCATCCTGAGCAAAGAAAGGGGTAACGGCCTGTGGTGTAAAAGGGGAGGAAGACAATTCACAGGTAGATGAGAAGAGCAAAGGTTTGCTATGCCATGCAGATAAGTCTCTCAGGTAAAAAAGCTATCTCTAGTAATAGCTCTTTTCCTAGTACAGACTCCCTATCTAAATTTTTTTTAGGCAGTTAAGGGAGAGAGAATAAGCTTTTACTGAGTCTGCTGTGTCTTAATTGCCTTCAGCTCAAAAAAATCTACATACCAAAGTGGCACGTTTTGGGGTGGCATATTCTCCCCTCCTTCAATATCTTTGATGAGAAAATGTTACTACAAATCTCATCTTGGTTCCAGCTGTATCACCAACACCATCTTGGAAGTCAGCATGTCTCAGCTCTAGACTTTCCCCCTGAGAAGGAAATGTGTACAGAAACTGCTTTCTGGCCTCATGGAGAGTTATCAAAATACTCCTTGGTAGCCCAAGCCCTGGGGATCAGGTGACTCACAAAAGGAATAGTCAGTAATTGCATTTTTACCTGAACCAAAGCAAAACCTGGTTTTGTCACCTTGCTCGATGGAACACCTGAATTTCACACTGTTGCTCTTGAAAGTCTGGATCTGCAAAAGACACACCCCCTCTCCTTGACCTAGCTCAGGCATACACTTAAACGCAGTGAGGATAAGCACCAATTGAGTTGTGCAGTGTGGAGGTGGAGAAGCAACTGAATGGGAAATGCATGATCACTCAGAGTTGACATTTTAAAATATTTAAAATTTCTTATTTCAAATATTCTGCTGTTATCAATGTAATGTAGATGTCAAGTTACACACTAATAAAATCATTAAAAGAAAGAAAAGAAAATGTAATGCAAAAAATCCATTTAATTACACATTTATTTAGTATCCCAATCAGAATATTAATTAAAAATAATAAAAGCAAAATTTGGAGAAGCTGATTTTTATATTAAGCCCAAATCTAATCACAATAATAGGATAAGTGTGTTCTGACTGTAAATGTTTATGAATTTACTTGTGAATTGCTTTCAATTAAATGTATTTTGGAATAATAGGAATGAAATCTGAATAGCATTTAATGAAGACTGGTTCAGTCCATGAAAAACTATATTAAGCAAATAAAAATTGTATAACCATACAAGTAACAGAATACTCAGCTAGCAACTGTCAGCTTTTGAAATATGAATACTATTATGGCATTAGGTTATTTTTGTGCCCAGTATATGCTAGCACATAGTTTAAATGTCATTTGATTTTGGGTGCTTGGTGTAAATATCTGTAAATAGGTTGTCATCAACTAGCAGGTTGAATTCTTAAGATGACGTGCTTAAAAAGTAATGCAATGTGAAAATGTTTTATTAATTGCTAGATGCTTTGTAAATACAATAAAGGTGATTATATATTGCATTTTCCAAAGTGTTGAGTTGCAGGGAATTATCTGGCTATATTACCAGAAGCATGTAATAGGCTGTACTACCAAAAGCATGTAATAAAGTTATCTTTGTTCCAAGATGTAAAGAGGCTTTTTATAATAGAATGATAGTTGGTACATTGGAACATGGAAACAAGCAAAAGAAAAATGAGCACGTAAGTCTTATCTTACACCACTATCACCACTTAGACATTCTACGACATATCAGGCCTTCCCATTAGTCACTTGTTAGAGGAAAATTATCACTTTTTAAACATAAAAACTATCTTGTGGTCCCATTTTCAATTAGCCAATAGAAAAGACAAAGATATTTTCTTCAAGTTAGACTTTCTTCCAAGTGAATGAAAATCCAAGGGAATCAGCTAGTTTAATGAATGCAATAAACTGGGTTACATTTTTTGACCTTTAAGTAAGTGACTTTTTTTTTTGACGAACATTATATTTATAAGACTTCCCCCATCACCAAGTCCCCCCCACATACCCCATTACAGTCACTGTCCATCAGCGTAGTAAGATGTTGTAGAATCACTACATGTCTTCTCTGTGTTATACAGCCTTCACCATGCCCCCACACACATTATACATGCTGATCATAATACCCCTTACTTTCCCCCCCCCCCCATCCCTACCTTCCCACCCATCCTCCCCAGTCCCTTTCCCTTTGGTAACTGTTAGTCCATTCTTAGGTTCTGAGTCTGCTGCTGTTTTGCTCCTTCAATTTTTTCTTTGTTCTTATACTCCACATATGAGTAAAATCATTTGGTATTTGTCTTTCTCTGCCTGGCTTATTTCACTGAGCATAATACCCTCTAGCTCCATCCATGTTGTTGCAAATGGTAGGATTGTTTTCTTCTTATGGCTGAATAATATTCCATTGTGTATATGTACCACATCTTCTTTATCCATTCATCTACTAGTGGACAGTTAGGTTGCTTCCATTTCTTGGCTATTGTAAACAGTGCTGCCATAAACATAGGAGTGCATATGTCTTTTTCAAACTGGGCTGCCGCATTCTTAGGGTAAATTCCTAGGAGTGGAATTCCTGGGTCAAATGGTATTTCTATTTTGAGGCTTTTGAGGAACCTCCATACTGCTTTCCACAATGGTTGAACTAATTTACATTCCCACCAGCAGTGTAGGAGGGTTCACCTTTCTCCACAACTTTGCCAACATTTGTTGTTGTTTGTCTTTTGGATGGTGGCAATCCTTACTGGTGTGAGGTGATATCTCATTGTGGTTTTAATTTGCATTTCTCTGATGATTAGCGATGTGGAGCATCTTTTCATGTGCCTGTTGGCCATCTGAATTTCTTCTTTGGAGAACTGTCTGTTCAGCTCCACTGCCCATTTTTTAATTGGATGATTTGCCTTTTGTTTGTTGAGGTGCGTGAGCTCTTTATATATTTCAGATGTCAACCTTTTATTGGATCTGTCATTTATGTATATATTTTCCCATACTGTAGGATGCCCTTTTGTTCTATTGGTGGTGTCCTTTGCTGTACAGAAGCTTTTCAGCTTGATATAGTCCCACTTGTTCATTTTTGCTTTTCTTTCCCTTGCCCAGGGAGATATGTTCATGAAGAAGTTGCTCATGTTTATGTCTAAGAAATTTTTGCCTATGTTTTTTTCTAAGTTTTATGGCTTCATGACTTACATTCAGGTCTTTGATCTG